GATTTCCAGAAATGAGTGCCACAACCAATTTTTGCCAATATCCACAAACTTCACGCGTCCACCACGATCACAGTACGTCCAACCACAGTGAACACCTGCATCACAAACACACCGTTAGACCTCATTGTCTTTCACCCACCATGCACTTATGTCTGTCTCCCACCTCGCGCAATAACCAAATGCAAAGTCAACAGTCTTCCATGCATTGCAACAGCTCGGGTGCCCTCCAATCACCAACATACACCACTTTATCATGTTTCACTGCATCCAGAAAGGGATGAGGTGCTCATTATGTAAGTATTTGGTCTCTAGGAACCATGGCTGGCCCCTGACTTCTTACTCCAGTAGGTCTCCATACCCTTACTTTCGGTTTTCTGGAAACTGCCTAACCCTTTATGATATGCCCCCTCAACCAAGGATCTAAGACCAACTGAGAACATCTCCATAGCGTTCGGACTCATAAGCCTTCCAAAATCAGGGCTCACCAGCCAGCTCTTGCAGTTTGAACCTAATACAGTAACCAAACCAAGCATTTGTAGGAAGGTCTGTAATCGGTTACCACTTTCACGTAACCAATTACAGAAGTGCACACATTCCTTCACACCACTGTAACCGCAAAGCCAAAGGCTGTAACCGGTTACGCCTAACACTGGCACTGTTCATCATCTTCTCAAACACGCGGATCCAATTTCTTCATCTTCAACTACCAGCTGTTGCATTCCATTAACACGCACAACGTCCTTCTTCCTCCTCCTCTACAACCCTACAAATCAAAACCAACAATATGTGCTTGGATATACGTTTTGGTATGTTACTAACCTAACCACTTATTCGTCTCAGCAAAACCTTGTTCTCTTCCTCGTCTGAGCTTACACAGCGAAGCACTCTCTCTTCGCACACACCTTACAACACTAGCAACCAATTTAGTAAGCTTCTTACCACTCAATAAATAACATGAACTACCCACAACCAACCACATATGAATTTCCACATTCTGGTCAATGGCACTTATCCTTACTGCACTTTCACTGTCTGTGGATGCAGGAATCTTTCCTGTTGAATGCCTGTATGAAGCATCGTATCATCAGCTATCCGTAGCTCAGGAATATTTCAGTGGCCACGCCCCCAAACCAACCTAAGCATTCTCGTGTATGCACAGTGGTAAAGCAAACTCTTGACTGTTTTTTATATTTCTAATATATACCCCTTCACCATGTAATCGGTTCTCTGGTGCACTGTGCTATGGAATCGGTTTTAATCTGCATCGGCATCACTTCTCTGGAATTTAATAAAAAGGCTCAGGGCACACACGACATTTCACTTACAATCAGTGCAAATCTTCTCACTTCTGCGGGTGACCAAAAGTGCATCCATCCTGCAAATCCATCTTCGCTTATCCTCGCTAATCCTCTCATACGAACATCAGATGAATTTCAATTCCTCGCTCTGTAATTCGCATAAACAATAAATTCTGTTCATGCGAACACAGTGTAAAAGTATAGAATATAAAATAAACAATTAAAAATAGCGGTGACTAACAAAGGAGTAAAAAAGGGCGGGTAATACAAGAATTCATAATATATTTAGCTTTTATGAAATAATTTAAACTTTTTCAATATTTTATTTAAAAGTCAAGATGGCCGAGTTGGTCTAAGGTGCCAGTTTCAGGTACTGGTCCGAAAGGGCATGGGTTCGAATCCCATTCTTGACATTTTAAGGTATTTTTCTGTCATGCTTTAATAATTTTGTTTAATGTTATTCACACTTTTTCAAGTTATTTTACTATGTATTAGCGTTTAAAAAAGTTGTTATATTTTTTCTAATAATCCATGATGAAATGGATTTGGTGTATGGTTGGAAATTAATTTGAAAAGTTAATTTTAAATAAGATGAGTAAGTTGGTTTATCAGTAGTAATGATTAATTGAATATTTATTGTGTAGAGTGGTTGGAGCGTCACACCAGAAGACTTTTTGTGTGATTGGAATGGAACACTTGAGTTTTGCGCCATCTCTTCTTTTCATTCCTAAACTAATTAAATATGATGTGATTGGTTAACAAAGAAACAAAAAGATTCCTTTTATTATCTCGATTATTGCTCATTGTGCTTCTGTCTTTTTCACCCCTCTCGTCGACAAAAATTCAAAATTCATAATGATTTCTTTTTCAGATATTCAACATCTATCAAATTTCTCTTAACTATTTTTTACCTTTCTACCATCCAAAATTTATTAAATAAATTCATATAAATTTAAACAAAATAATTTTTTATTAGATTTTACCAATAAGAAATTAGTGTCTGAATTAATTTCTAATTTAAAATGAAAAATTAATTTAAAATCAATAATAATAATTAATTAAAGCATTAATAATTAATATTAAATATCAATTTAGATTTAAATTGGTAGATTAATTATAATTTTTTATCATAATAAAAATTATTTTAGATATCAATAATTTTAATTTATAAAATAATAGTTAATTTAATTAATATAATGAATAATTATTTTGGTTTGCAAAGTGATTGTTATTTTATAATTTTGTTCCAGTGCTACTTGTTTTTATATGTTTTGTGTGCGAAGACAATGTAATCTTTAAGTTTGTTATTTTGGCAATTTGTTAACTTTACTTGCAACACAGTAGAACTTTTTTTCCTAATACACTAGAGAAGATAATGATGGTAATGAAGAAAGGAGTGATTAGGAATACCGAAATAAAGGTTATGTTGTGTTAGGTTTATTTTGTGTTGAATATAGTAAAATTATGTATGTGATTAATTTCCTTCGTGTTGAATATACACATAAGTTCTTTATTTATAATAAAAGAAACATGGACTAAGTCCAATATACAAATAAAAAATAATAACAAACTAACTAAAGATAAAAGACAAATATAAAATAAAGATCATATATCTAACATTTCTCCTAAGCTAGTACATACAAATTGTATGTATCAAACTTGTTACTAATATAATTCATAAAGACTTAGTGAAAATATCTGCTTCTACACTCGAGTGACACCAAATTACTAATTATTTGCAAGACGACATAGAAGACGAAATATCAACCTAAAAGACTCTTCTTAAACAACAAATCTAGGATGTTGCTCCATATAAATCTCTTCTAGCAAATCGTCGTTGAGGAATGCATTGTTGACATCTAGTGGATAAAGAGGTCATTGTTGGAGAGTCACCACGACTATAAATAAACTAACAAAAATCATTTTTTTCAGAAAAGAAAAAACATATATGAACAAGTCAAACTCAATGGTAACAAAAGGGAGTTAGAAAAGACATTGAAAGAAACCATAAATAATAGGAGAAACAAACCTTAAAAATCTAAGATTGTTCAAAGCTCCAATTTTAAAAGTTCCAATTCTCAAAACTCCACATAAAATATTTCGAGACAAAGTTAAAATGAAATTGAATTCCAAAACTAAATTAGTTAATTTTTAATATATTTTTAATTATTCTTTTCATTTGCTTTTCAATCTTGTCCAACATTTTTTACATAATATTTTACTAATATTCTTTTTTCTTCTTCTCTGCAAACATCTTTATACAATATTGAATAGCCAAAAAATTATAGTTTAATAATTTTATTTCATCGTGGTAGTTTTTTATTATCTAATAAAAAAAAAGTAATTTTAATAGATATTTGTGTAATAATTATATTATATAGATTTTGAAAACATGAAAGTTAATTTATATTTGATTCTAATCTATTATTTCTAAAGAATATATAAATATTAATTTTATAATAAGTCATTCAAAATTTTTTATTGTAATCATATTTGAAATACATAATTTCATTATTTTAAAAAATTGAAAATGTAATATATGTTGAATTTATTTAAACTTAAAAATAAGGTAATTTTAAAAGAAAAAAATGTGCAAAATAAATATTTTTTTATAAATTCAGAAATTACTAATTGTAAAAACACATTTTTCTTTCAATTTTTTCATGTTTTAAAAGTTTTTATAAATTTATTTTGATAAAGTATTTATAAAATATTATATATAAATAAACTTTTAAATTAATTTCAGTTTTGACATCTAAAATATGGTAAGAACATTTCAATTTAAAAAAGAACCTACTTTTTTCAAAAAAAAATTATCCGTAAAAAAAATCAAATAAGTCCTATAAACTTATTTAATATAAGATTTTTTTATCCTATAAACTTTTTTGGTCCTAACCATATAAGCTACAATCAAGTCTTATAAATGAACCAATTTGACAAGTCTTGGTGAAATGAGAAGTGAAGTGTTATATGGTGCTTTTGATTGAGGAAGAAATAGATAAAAAAGGTTCATATCCTACTATTCTACCACACATAAATGAATTGAAACAATCTAACTTCCAATTTTTTGGTGAACAATGAACCAAATTTGACATTATAATTTTTTAATTGATGCAATAAATCTTGAATTTGAAGAATTTAACTTAATTACTGTATTTGAAAATTAAATGGATTTTATAATTGAATACACTAACACTGTAGAATATGATTCGTATCTCAACTAGGAAAATTTAAGCCGGTGGCATCTCATATCTGCTGATACACCACCCTGACGAGTCCCTATTGCTGAATTAGACATACTTGCGCAGAGTTCAAGATTTAGGGTTTGCGTAAGCCCTACTAATATTGCCCTTCAAAGGAAGAAAGTATAATTCTCTGCTGCTCAAGGTTGTTGTCATCCTTTCCTAATCAATGTCAAGTTTCAATGAGAAAAACGCCCACCCCACCAACTCCATCCCTTCTCCTAGAATTTCGTCTTTCACTTGACATTTTAAGCTTTTTCTTTTTCCAACTCCATAAAATTCTGGGTTTTCTGGAATGTTGGATAATACATTGCAGAAACCCTTTCAAGAAAACTAAAAATAGAGCGTCCATAAATTATATAAGGTTTAAGAACAATGCAATTTTATCTTATCAAGCATCAATTCTTTATTAAACATAATTCTGTCTCATGACTGACAGATAAATATTCTCTCTATTCTGTGGTTAAAGGTAGAAAATGTTAGCAATCCTAGCTTCAATTTGAGGTCATCCAACCTTATCCATGATCAGTGTTACTCCTCAAAAGCATAACACTAGCATACAATATCTGATAGAAGTAAATAGTATACGTTATTCAAGCACTAAATACGAGAGATACGACAGATATCAGCCCGGTGCATGAGTCTCCAACCATGGGTCTGGGAAAGATCAGTGTGAAACCTCCTCTAGGCAGCGAGCTTGTTTCCGCAACTGGAAACCATGATAAGACTCGAATATATAAAAATAAAGATAATAATCATGAAAGAAACTAAAATCTGGGAGCATTACAAAATTATGACAGGTGAATGTTCAAAAATTCATACACCAGACCTGAAAGCTTCAAGCGGTAACCTGATTAGATTCACGCAACCTCATACACTTCGCATGCAACCTCTCCATGAATGCTGGATTGGAACGGAGCCTCTCCTTTACATATGAAACCCGGGCATCATCTACTAATTTATTAGCTTTTCCTGCCTCCTCAATGAGAGAGAGAAGTGTCCTTAAGCAGTCTTTTCTGTTTTCTTCTCGATGTTCATACCTAAAAAATACAGAAAAGAAAACTTTAAGCACAATTGTAGCTGATTCAAGTGAACTAAGACCCATAACCAAGTCTGCAAGATCAAATAATAAATGAATGAATTTTTACAAGATATGACTCTACCTCTCACTAGTTATTGTAAGCTCGTCTCTCCCTGGATGATAACGCTTTCCAACCAATTCTCTGAGACGGCGAAATTGGTATTGTGAAAGCCCTAGCTCCTTCACAGTAACAGAAAGTTTCACTTTCCTGTTTTTCGGGTGCCAAGCATCACCACCAGGAGCAAAGACTACCCTAGTTTGCCACCGCAAAATTGGACCTTCACCTGGTGGATCGTCTGAGTCCTTTTTCTTATCCAGCACAGCAGTATCATCAAACTGTGGGACCGGGACCTCCTCTTTTTCCATTATCTTCATGTATTCCGCTACCATCTCATCCTCAAACTTCTTAAATTGTTCATAAGCTTCTTCAGGTTCAAGTTCTCCTCTTTCACACATGTCCCCTAGCTCATTAAATTTTATTTCCACCTTCTGCTTTATATCATCTATCATGACATTAAACCAAAGAAAATCAGCATAACTAAGCATACTAACCACTTCTAAACCTGACTATTTACTAACACGTTTAAATTAAATATCTCAAATGCAAACATAAATTCACGGTCATGAAAATTGTGCTGGAACTTGCAAAATATGTCAAGCACAAAAACATAACAAGATAAATAGCATTCTAGTGAAATCTACAAATCTTTTAAAAGTGAACTTACTAGCCAACAACAAAGTAATAGCGTGACGAGAGATACTTACATATTGCATTCCCTTACATTCTTCTGTAACCTTAATTATAATTAACTACACAAGGGTATATCACTAACAGTCAAATAACAGTAACAAGCAACTGAGGTAATAAAAGGAGGAGATTCCCCCAACTTTGATTTCGATAAAATTTAAGCACAATTAGCTTAAGTTTTCTTGCCCAGTTTTCCTGTCCAAATTAGAGTTCACCTTGATAGATTATGATAACCTTTAATGCAAACTTTCATTATATGGATTAATAATTCAATTATGGTAGGAAAACACCACAATAAGCACATAAGAACTACATTAGATATTATTTCATTGCTATTTTATCAATTTAGTTAAAGAGCTTAGTATTTCAAAAAAGATAAATAAACAATAAATCTATTTAAAGATTGATTAAATATAAAACAGACAAATTATTAAAATATCAATGGTTAAAAATTCTAAATTGTCTCTGCGCATATATGTACTTAGGTCTCTGCATTATTCACAATCACAAAGAATAAGTGCAATGATATTGAGAATGGTGTACGGACCAGGGAGGAGTTTGTCCCAGCTGAGCATGTCCTCTAGAATCTCCTCGCACTCCTTGGTGTCCTTAAGAAAACCGTGCTTGATCCCATCTTCAACAATGTCGTCCCATTTTTTATCATCCATGTTGAAGTACTCGTCCTTCACCATCCTTTTCATCACCGCATCCCTGGCGTTGTACAAATCGTCGAGCTCCTCATCGGTTTCGTGGATTTCCTCGAAATCGGATTCGAAGTCCCCGTCTTCGACATTGTCAAGGGGGCGCATGCGGAGCTCATCCATCAGCTCGTCGTCAGTTTCCTCGTGCTTCCCCGACAGCTTCCGCTGCAGAATCGCCTCCATGATCGACGGCAGCACCTCCTCGTCGCCCTTCATGTAGATATCAATCCGCCTCTTCAGCTCTGCCGACACAAATCTAATGTGTCAAACGGCGCCGTTAGAATGCTACAATTGATGAGAACATAGAGAGAGATACATACCTTTGTTGTCGACGTCGTCAGGGTTTTGTGGAACCGGCGGGGGAGTTCCATTGGAGCAGAAAAGTTTTGGTCGCAGAGGAGTTGAAGCGGCGGGTGCAGGGGCCGAGTTAAGAAGGTTGCGTGTGAACAGAGTTGCATTTCTCAGAACAGTTCTTCTCATTGTTCTCTGTTTCTCTTTCTCACTCTAGGGTTTCTACTCCCTTGCCCCTTACATTCTGATTACTTCTCTCTTCACTTTTTTTTTTTGAACCATTTTAATCTGAGAAAAATTATTAATGTAAAATTTAAAAAGCTAATAATATCAGTATCAAATAAAATATATAGTAAATTAAATGTCTTAATTAACTATTTCAAATTCTAATAAAATACTCTTAAATTTGAAGTACTTGTCATTTCTCAAATCTTCAAAACCAATACATAAATTTATCCTTAAAATATTAGCTTGTTCACGTGAAAAAAAAAACATAATGAAAATTGTTGCAATTTATTTCTTCAAATTCTTAAATTTCTTGTTTTCCTGCTTAAAAGAATCAAATATAAAAAAACTGCAAACATATGTCTGTTTGATTGTTAATTATTTTTTATAGAGTTGATTTTATGTCCCATATATATATATATATATATATATATATATATATATATATATATATATATAACTATTTTTCATCATGTTATGTCATTAGTGAAAAAATGATTTAATTTTGTTATCAAAACGTAGTGTTAATATTTAAATTATTGTTCAATTATAAAATAATCATAGTCTATACTAATATAGGCTTTGATTTTTAATTGTGCAATAAATGTCATTAATTCTTTTTGTCTAGGGTTAAATTTTTAGAAAAATTATTTCCATGCCACAATATTGTGTTGCTCTAATCTTTATTACAATTACAAAAATTTACTCTTTTTCTTTATTGTCGGTCTCCTCTTCACGCGAAACTTTTCTTTATTACGAAACATTTTGTTCTCGTCTCCTCCTCATGAAACATCTTATTGTGCTTTCTTCTCCATTTCCATTCTTAGTTACCACATACCATCTCTTGTTGCTTGGAGGTTCATTTTCTTTTTTCTTGCATTTTGGTGATTCTAATAGTGGAGATAACACAATATACCAATCATTTTTTTAGTTTAGAGTAAAATTCTTTTTGAGTTGACTGCATATTGAGTTATTTACATGCCTAAAAATGTGTGTTCGTATGCGTAATCTTATAGGTAAAGATAAATATGTATTAGTTTAGAACATAACAACACTTTCGATTTAACTATCATAGTTTTTTTTTGTAAGTAGGTTTGAGATTACTATGTTAAATGCTATAGTTAAATGCAATAGTTAGAGCTTTATAAAAGAGATGTAGACATATTGTTATGACATCCTTTTGAAAGAAAGAAGAGACAAGCATACCTTATAAATAGAGAATAAAAATTCATAACTTTTAATGCTAACCATGAATGTTCAAGGTTTATCTTCTCTAACGACCAAATATACTTATTATTTGTCTAAGCAAAAGAACCAAATATACTTATTATTTGTTTAAGAAAAAGTTATCAACAAAAATATATACATTTACTTTTGTTTAACCATACTACTTAAATTGGTTAGCAAGCATCTACACATGAAAGAAACATAATGATTATTAAAAATATGTTTAACATTTTGCTAATTAAACACAAATGAAAAAAAAATTTGTTGAACTTTGATCCAATAACAAGAATTATAATTATCAGTTTAGTATATTTAATGTTAGAAATTCACAAAGTTAAATTATTTTTGTATGTGATAGAAATTAGTAATTTAAAAATTTTTAAATTAAAATTACTTTTAGTAGATAATTTAAATAATCTAATGAAATATATTCATACTAGAATAAAAATACAAATATTAATAACTTATAATTAGAATTACTAGTTTTGGTCTAATAACTAGAAAAATTTACAAAATAAAATTAATTAAAGCATTAGATTAAGTTGTTGGGTCCAAATTTGGTTAGAAAGCTTTTATGTTGATTTTTACTTAGACTTTTGTTTCAATTAATTCTCAAAATTTGAAAATTTTACTCAACTAAGTCATTTATGTTAGTAGTTATAAATGGTGTTATTATGAGTGTCATTGTCAATTTGTAATTTTTTTTATTTTTAAATACTTTTGCAATTTTTTTGTTTTTCACATGTCAAATCCTGTGATGCTGACACATGATAGTGTTAGTAGCACGTGACAAGACAATATTAAGTGTCATAATTTTTTATTTAACTTAGTTCATAGTATGATGACAAAAATACATGTATCTAAGAATAGAATCTGTAGCAAATAGTTGGTATCCACGATTAATAGATATGTATGGGTAGCGGGTAAAGTAGTATCTGGTCATTAACAGGTCGGATTCGGGTATCATACTACTCGTACCCGCAAGTATCTACCCATTAAAAAAATGAAATTATACTTTTGTCCCATGTTAGGTTATCTTATTTTAATTTGTTATGTTAGTATGCACTTCTTTTTTTGGCTTCTACTTCTCTTTTAAGATCCAATAGCAAACCTTCAAACCAACAGGTAAGCAATTACATTGTTTCCTCTCATACGTACATTTACGCTGCTGCCATACACAACATTATTGAAGTGACGAACCACGTTCAAATTCCTTTTAGGTTAATTAGACTTTAATGAAGTGACAAATATTGTTTACAACCTTATGTTTCTGATTTGAATTCGATTCTAATGGATATGCGATCTGTCATTGATAAAATTCATGTGGGAAGCTCGTTTATGAGAGCACCAAGAAAAGGGCTAGCAGACCCAAGTGCCCCGTCACTAGCAAGAGGATTCAGTGTTCTATTATTTTTACGTTTTTAACTATTAAAAACGAGTAAATTTAGCTATATATATATAAGAAAAAACATTCACAAATGCATCTTCAGGATTTTGGATTATGGATGGTATCATGGTTTCGTGTTCACACTCAAGGTAATACTACAACCAGATTACAATCCTTAGAGAGAGAGAAGAAGAAAGAATTTCATTACAACAACTAAAAACATTGTTGCACTCATTTAGCATCTTAAAAATTGACATTCAGGGATATTAATATGTATAGTCAACTTCATAGGATTTGTTCAGACTGTATAACATTTAATCCGAAAACCCAAAGGTTAAAATGGTAAGCATTTTAAACTGTTATTATTGTTCTAAACAATCATAAAAGGCTTATTATGGTACTCGTGTACTACTTAAATATATTTGCTTGGCATTTATTCTAGTTATATATTTTTAAAAAGCGGGTATCAACTAGGTACTCACGTGTTGAAAAAAATCCATAAGTTCTTTTATGTAAGTAACCAGCTAGTAGCAGAACAAGTAGCATATACGATTTTTTCATCCGAGTCGAGTAGCGAATAAGCATTATCCTTACCTGACCCAATCTATTGTTATCCTTAGTTCATATATACCTATGTTTGATTCAATTCACTCTCAATTTATTTTAAATAGAATAATATTGTCTCTCTTTTAATTGAGACCAAATTTATTATTTATACAAATGTTATACTGATATTAAAATTGACTTTTTACTACTAAAATTATTTTTAAACCAAATCTAACATATTATTGGATTTTATTTATATTATTTAGTTTAGATCTTATAAAAGAATACGGATTGATAATATAGTAATCTTAAATACTTACTTTTTGTTGTAAATGAAGCTTAAATTAATTTAGTAAATATATAATATTTATATGATAAATAATAAAGTAATTTCAGACTTAAAATTAAATAAAATATAAAATAAATATTTTTCTGACTTTAAAATACTAAAATATAAAATGCAAAAATTAAAAAAAATAAAGATGTATTGTATAATAATAAAACAAAAATATGCAATAAGTTAGTATATTGAAAAGTCAATTTTAATAAAAATATCTTTACTAACACTGTTTTGTCATGTAATATTAATAGTATTATGTGTCTGAACCTTCAAACGTGAAAAAATAATTTTTTTAAAAAAAATTAGAAAAACTAAAAGAAATAAAAAAAAAACATAAAAAACTATAAATTGATATATAACACTAGTTTGTAAAATTTCAACAAATTTCAATCGATGGAAAATGTAGAGATATAAAAGAGAAATGGAAATATGGTTATTAGAAGTGAAAGGAGGTTGAAAAGGGAGGTTTTTTAAGCTTTTATGGTTGAAAAATGGTGAACAACTCTTGCAAAGGGAGGAGAATGAGAGAATGTAGGAGAAGAGAGAGAATAAGTTGAATTTATAGAGATAAGATTTCTGATAATCGATTATAGGATTTGTATAACCGATTACTAGAGCCTCTAGTAATCGATTACTGAAACCTTGTAATTGATTACCAGAGTTTTCCTCTATTAACATGTATAGTAATCGATTAAACAAATCTTGTAATCGACTATTATAAGTTTTACGCTATAAATTACATACTTCTGTTATTTTTTATATAAATTTAATTATTCTAAAATATAATTTATTTATATCAATTTTATTTTGTGTATAATCAATAATAGAAATGTTATTTTTTATATAAATATTTGTATTTTGATAATTTGCATTTAAATTGATATAAATTATTTATCTAATTTTTTTTATAATTTGTAATTTTTATAATTCGGATGTAAAATTAAATAGTGAAAATGATAATTTCTATATAATTAGTAATTATAACAATTTCAATTTAAACATAAGAAATAAACATAAGAATTATAACAATTTTCATTTATTTAAAACATAAGAATTAAACATAAGATGAAAAAGTAACATTATAACAATTACATAAGTCTTAAACACGATTAGTATGGAACATTACAAATGAGTACAAAATTAAAATATCCATCTATTTCTTATTTTTCCTTGTTTGTCTATGTAACTCCATGATTTGATATCCTCGTAGTGTTCAACCAAAGTTGGAGGATGAATATCTTTTGTTTGTACAAAAAGTTCAATATTTTTCCAAGTGTGTGGACGTAATAAAGATCGATCAATACTTTGTATTTTTTTCGATTGATAATTTGTGCAATATCATTAGCACATTTAATTTCAGTTGTATCATGAATGAGGTGGTTGTTACGTACCTTTACTGGACGACGATAATCAATATGAGTGACTATTTTTCGGTCACTACACTCAACAATTTCACTGATTTTTTGGAGGAGTTCATTGAATGTACAATTGTGTTTGATTGAGATGTTAACTAGGTTATCTGATCGGAACTCGATCTCGTAGCC